TATTCCAAATACTAGCTTATGTTTCTCTGACTCCCAGAGCAGAATATAAAGGAGTATAAGACAGCTTCGTTGCCTTGGCCAGCCCAACTGGGACATCATGATTACCTTTCTGTTCTCTGGGTATGTGTCAGAAGTAAAAAACTAAGCCTGGATAGACAGGAGAATTGAATTAATGCCAGAACTTTGTGCCATTCACCAAGGTCTCACCAGAAGGTTCCCAGAAGAGACTGTGTGGTTCTCTTTACCACTCTTGCATGTGGAAGAACAATTAGGTTTAAAAAGGATGGAAATGGGATGTTATTAGGAAACATGAATATGGCTTTTGACCCACCGATGTCTTCCTTTTTAAAATGGTTATCTTAGGAATGAGAGTGACCTGGTATTGTACATATCGCCTGGTGGACATATCCCGTGAGGTTGACTTGTCTGATGTGACAAAAGACAATTGATGTGTTTAAAGAACTGAGTACTTATGGAGAGACCCCGTTGCTTTCTGAGAGAAAATGTTCACAGCTCATAAAGTTGATATTGCAAGCAATGAAAATGTAGCAACTCCTTCTCTGGTTCTCTTCCCTTCCACCCATATGTAGCCAGAAATAATCCTTGCTAAGCTTCGCCCTTACGTTGGTTAGTTCAGTGGAACCCTTTTTCAAATGAACCCTTTTTCAAATGAAATCGGGGATGGTGAGGTGCCGAGGGAAATACAGCAGTGGGATCCTCAGACTCCCGCCTCTTGCTGTCCAATTTCCTGGCTCTCTCCTTGCCAGGACCCTGGCACTCCTCTGAGGAATGCAAGAGCTCCCTGGATGTGGTCTGAAAAACACTGAGTGCCGTGTGACTTGACTGGTTCATTAGTCTGGACTGAGTTGGAAGGTTCGTCTTTGTTTCTGAGCCTCTTAAACTTGTTTACAAGAGAGGATATATAGCTATATATTGAATGTCAATATTTAATTCCAAGTCATGGGTGGTTATAATAATCTTTTTTCCTTGATGAATTTATTCCCCCAAATAAGGTTAAAAAATAGCAGGACAATAAATACAGTAAAAAAGTAGTTTATTTAGTTTTTGCTCATGTTGGAATATCATTAACTCTTTCCTTCCTGATAATGCTGAAGAGTACAGCATTAAACCCTTTCTGTAATAAAGCATAAATGTATGCTTGACCAAATATAGCTTCGGGTCCTAGGGAGGAATTCAAGTCATTTGGCCTTGAGAGACCAGACATGCTGTTGGAGGCCTTGGGAGAATGGGTGTGTTCATGCTTACAGTGAATCCATGGATTCCAGGCCTGCCTGGAAAAGGGCCATTGTCTTTAAAACAATCAATGGCATTATAAAAGGGCTATGATCTGAATGTTTAATGACAGTTAAAATATATAACATATCACTTAGATGTAATGTATATGTCTGTGTGTATACAGTGTATGTGTATATAGGTACACATACACATTTGCATCACTTTAGTTGGTTTTTGATGCATGGATATCTGCTTACATATGTTTGGCCCTTTTTAAAATGTAATCTTCATTAGGGCAGGAGCCTGTCTTGTTCACTGTTAAGCTCCAGTGTCAGGCACAGAGTAGTGCTGAATGAAAATTTCTGGAATAAAGGAATGAATATATCCCTTCTTTGAATGTTCTTACTGAGTAACAGGGGTAGTATCTTTTATTTCTTGGCATCTCCAAGGACTCAAATGTTTGATTCTGATGTTTTATTTCATTTGCTCAGTAATTCTTTATTGAGTGTCTACAACGTGACAGTCACTGTGCCCAGATACTGAGGATATAGCAGTAAATAAAACTGATAAAACTCTCTTCACAGACCTTTCTATTCTACTGAGAGGAAGCAGACAATAAATACAGTAAAAGTAGATTGTTTTTTGCTGATGTTGAAATACCACCGACTCTCCTTTCCTGATGATGGCGAAGAGCAAAGCATTAAACCCTTTGTGTAATAAAACTAGATGATGCAAGGCCTGCTGGGGAGACAACTAATTCAGCCCCTCCTGCCAATCCCCTGCAGGAACTGAGAAAAACACCAGGGAGGAAACGGGAATATGTTGACTCATGAGTGGTAATGAAACCCCAAAAAGGGTAGGAAAGAGATCAGGACAAAGAGGGGAGCCAGTGGCAACAGGATTGTGGGAGCAAGGCCGTATGGTTCTCTGCAGCTGAGCTGCATGCCCTGTCAGCTTGCAATGACATCCTGACTGCTTTTACCAAACATCTGCCCTTCCCATCCTTGAAAGCCCATCCTGATGTTTGCAGTGGAGGATTTCAAGTAATTGATCCTGAACTAGTGTTGCCAAGGTGTCTGTACTCCTCCCGGCGGGAATAATGCATCTGCCTGTGTGCTTTCTCCCGCCATTTCAAGACCTGTAGCAGTGAATTCAGAGCAAGGAATAAGGACAGTTATCTCATGTATTTGTTGAAAGCCTTATGCCTTGAAAAACTACTTTCTCTTAATAAATGCATTATCTCATTGGATCCTCTCAAGACCACAGTGAGGTGATTAAGATGAAGATTATAGTTAGGGTGTCCATATACCCCAAATTACCCCTTCTGTTGTCCCAGCATCCCAACTGGCTTAGTATTTGTCTTGGGTTTTTTTTTTTTTTTTTAAAGACAATCTTGCTCTGTTGCCCAGGCTGGAGTACAATGGCGCAATCTCAGGTCACTGCAACCTCCGCCTCCCGGACTCATGCCATTCTCGTGCCTCAGCCACCTGGGTAGCTGGGAATACAGGTGCATGCCACCACGTCCAGCTAATTTTTCTATTTTTAGTAGAGACGAGGTTTCACCATGTTGGCCAGGCTGGTCTCAAGCTTCTGGCCTCAAGCGATCTGCCTGCCTCAGCCTCCCAAAGTGTTGGGATTACAGGCATGAACCACCATGCCTGGCCATTTTTTTTTAATAGACTTTGTTTTTTAGGGCAGTTTAGGTTCAGAACAAAATTGAGAATGTATAGAGACTTACCATATACCCCTTCCTACCCACAACACACATACATAGCTTCCCTCAGTATCAGTGTCCCCCACCAGAGTGGTATATTTGTTCCAGGGGGTGAATCTACCTTGACATGTCATTATCACCCAGAGGCCGTAGTTCACGTTAGAGTTCGCTCTTGGTGGTGTACGTTCTGTGGGTTTTGACAAATGTGTAATGACATGTCTCTACCATTATAGTATCCCACAGGATAGTTTCCCTGCCCTAAAAATCCTCCATACTCTGCCTGTTCATCACTCTGCCTATTCATCTTTCTGCCCCAGATTTTTAATTTTGCAGTAAACAGTTTTTAGACTTTTATAATTGAAAATATTTTGATAGAACTATTTAGTAGGTCTTTCAACATAGGAAAGCTATTCCTTAGTCAAGTACTTTAAAATATTGTGTAAATTTAGTTTTAGAGTCTCTTAAAGGCATTCTAATTGGAATGACAGGTTACATAGTCACCATAATTATAGTCTACATCTTAAGGGGAGAAAAACTGGTCCCCAGCAAGGAGGAAACATTCCTGTGTCTAGCCAGCTGGGCCTAGAGCAGGAGTAGAGCCTGGGTCCTCGAGCTTCTGGTACTTTCTTTCCCAGAGACACAGTGCCTGCTGGGGAGGCAGCAGGGAGCCCATCACATCCTGGCCTTGTTTTAAAGTAGTTAGGAAAGTGGTACTGCTTCGGTATTTCTAATTCAGATTAGAAAATTCGCTGCCTAAACAAACAACAAACCCGGTAAGGAACGGAACAGATTGCAAAAAAATCCAAGAGATTGAGACCAGGCAAGTGACCTGCCTAGGGAGGATGAAATAGTACTACTGAGATGGAAGTGTGGACTTTAAAGGAGTACTATGCTTTTGGAGAAGATTCCATAAATTAAGTCGGTGAAGAATAGTATTTTCATTGATAAATGTTTGATGGTATTTTGAGACTGAAATTGGAGTTTCATTTGCATATTTCTGAGACACGATGCATCTGTTTATTCCATAGGATATATCTAGATTCTTATCAAATATGTATTAAACTTGTTTAATATGATAATAATCTGTTCTGTAGTATCACCTACATATAATTTTAACACAGTGTTATTCCTAAAGGTTGAACTGATTCATCTTTCATAGCAAATCAGAAGGGCATTATTCTGAAGGTTAGGTTTTCATAAAGACCAATTTATCATCTTATACTTACTTTAAGATATAGTATTTAAAATATATTCTACTGTTGAAGACCAGCCTGGGCAACACAGAGCAAGACCTCATCTCTACAAAAAAGAAGAAAATTAGCCTAGGCATGGTGTTGCACAGCTGTAGTCCCAGCTACTTGGGAGGGTGAGGCAGGAGGATCACTTTGAGCCTAGGAAGTTGAGGCTTCAGTGAGCTATTGTGCTACCATACTCCAGCCTGGGCAACAGAGTGAGACCCTGTCTCTAAAAAATAAAAACAAACAATCCTGCTGTAGAAACACATAGGTATCCTAAGTCTAGGAAAAGCAGCCGCTCTTTCACAGACTAGATCACAAGGGGTGGAGGAAACATCCAACACTTGTAAGAAAATAACACAGAATGGGCCAGACGTGATGGCTGATGCCTGTAATCCCAGCACTTTGGGAGGCCGAGGCAGGTAGATCATGAGGTCAGGAGATCGAGACCATCCTGGCTAACACGGTGAAACCCCATCTCCACTAAAAATACAAAAATTAGCTGGGCGTGGTGGTGAGCACCTGTAGTCCCCGCTACTCGGGAGGCTGAGGTAGGAGAATGGCATGAACCCGGGAGGCGGAGGCTGTGGAGAGCAGAGATCACGCCACTGCACTACAGTCTGGGTGACAGCAAGACTCCATCTCAAAAATAATAATAAAATAACACAGAATGGTGGCAGCGTTGATTCTCTGCCTCCAGGAGTCCTTAAGATGTGTCACATTTGATGCTATCTTGGTTAAAGGGCATTTACTTTAGGTTTTGTGTGTGTATGAATAGCGTGAAGATTTGCTTCTGTTTTACTTATTTTTGTCAGGCCTCTCTATCCGGAGCGTGTGCTGGAAAGCAGACCGCCTTCTAGCAGGGACCCAGGACAGTGAGATATTTGAAGTGATTGTGCGAGAGCGAGACAAGCCGATGTTGATCCTGCAGGGCCACTGCGAGGGTGAGCTCTGGGCTCTGGCCCTGCACCCCAAGAAACCTCTGGCTGTGACAGGCAGCGATGACCGCTCTGTCAGGTGAGGCCCCACTGCTGTCACCTCTCTGACTTGAGACGGATTTATTTTCCCAAATTTGCTTATTAATAGAAGAATAAAGTGCAGAATAGAACCACACAGTTTCCAAATGAAACGTTAAGACCTTTAGCCCAACAAGTGGGTTTTTGGCATTTTGCTGCTGCTATTGTCTTTCTTGGCTGCATCTTAAACCATGGAAATGATTTTTAGAAGTGAAAAATACTTGAATACTGGTGAGGCTGGCTTCCAGTTCTTTCTATTTGAAGATTTACGAGCTAAGCACACTCATCTGTGATGAAACCATATTGTCCCCTCGTGCCTTTGGTCTTCTGCAGGGGCTGCATGGAGATTGTACTATTTGGTTAGAGACTCTCTCATTCATCATCATTAGAACTTAAATTCTGATTCTCAAAATTGTCTTAAGCGCATGAGTAAACTATTATTGTTTTTTAAAGTCTCAGATGAAATTTTGAACCACATCATCATGTCAAAGAATCATGGGGCCTCAGAAAATAGTTTACTCAGAGCCTCCAGCTTTCTTGCTGTGGATCATTTTATTCTTTTGAGAGCGCACTGGCTAAAACGAGCACAATGACTTATGATTCCAGTATTTTTGTACCTATTAAAGGAATGAACATACAACTTAAAGGTTTGAGATGTAGAATATTACCCCAATTTCAGTATTTTATTACTTAATGCTGAGCTTTAGATATGATCAACGACAAACAGGCCAGAAAGAGGGAGAGTGTGAGAGGAACAGACTGATCAATCGATTGAATGGCTACTGCCTCTGGGTTTTAATGGCTCAAATAGAACAATGTAAACTGGACTAAAGCTCACTACTTCCCACCTCCCTTATTTTGTATGTTTATGAGTCTAATTAAAATACAGTTAGTGTAGTCATTCATTCTATTTTTTCCATCTCTACCAAGCATGAAAACCTCATTGATCTAAAAATCAGTGAGAACAGCTAAAACAACTATTGTTGTCTCCTTGTGTGGCATAAACGGTTATTTGGTTTATACTTCACTTTACTCACTTCCTCCTTTTCTGTTTTTCTCTTTCTCTTAGTCTTGAGTTTTCCCACTTATTCAGACACCTGTGAAACTCATTCATACCCATCCAGAAGAAGTGATTTCAAGGAAGTCCTTCACTTTTATATTTTAGCAATTGTTGAGTCTCAGAATTGCAAACATCCCTGAGGAGCCCTGACTGCCAGAATCTTATTCTCTTTAGCCATTAATTTGACTAGAATCTGTAATGCATTTTTATACAAAGTATTAAAATTTAGGAAGGCTGAAAGTCATAATTTCTGGAGAAAGATGAGCATAGTGACTTTAGAAGGATAGTACCATTTACTGAGTGATGGTTTCTTTACTAGTAAAGCAAGGGTTACATTGCTTAAAATAGTACAAGATTGAAACAGCATGAGATCATGCATAATGGATGAGGTATTGAGAACCTACTCAGCTTGGGCAGGTCAGGGTAGCTCACGCCTGTAATCCCAGCACTTTGGGAAGCCAAGGCGGGCAGATCACGAGGTGAAACCCCGTCTCTACTAAAAATACTCAAAAAAAAATTAGCCGGGCGTGGTGGTGAGCACCTGTAGTCCCACCTACTTGGGAGGCTGAGGCAGGAGAACGGTGTGAACCCGGGAGGCGGAGCTTGTGGTGAGCCGAGATCGCGCCACTGCACTCCAGTCTGGACGACAGAGCGAGACTATGTCTCAAAAAAAGAAACAAAAGAACGTGGCTGGGTGCAGTGGCTCACACCTGTAATCCCAGCACTTTGGAAGGCCGAGGCGGGCGGATCACGAAGTCAGGAGATCGAGACCATCCTCGCTAACACGGTGAAACCCCATCTCTACTAAAAATACAGAAAAATTTGCTGGGCGTGGTGGTGGGCGCCTGTAGTCCCAGCTACTCAGGAGGCTGAGGCGGGAGAATGGCGTGAACCTGGGAAGCGGAGCTTGCAGTGAGCCGAGATCGCGCCACTGCACTCCAGCCTGGGCGACAGACCGAGACTCCGTCTCAAAAAAAAAAAGAAAAAAAAAAAAACGTACTCAGCTCAAGGCTGCACAGTACAGGCTGCCTAAGGACTAGTAAGCTATTTACTGTGCAGCTCAGCATCATAAGGGATGTGCCCCATCCCTTCTGATGGCGGAATGCTTTGAGAGAAACCGTGCTGCGTGTGACTTATTCTTGTCTATCTGTTGCAGAGCTCAGTCTGCCAGACACTAGTTTGTGTTAAGAGAAGATTATCCTTAGAAAAGCACTAATTGATGGAAGTCAGATACCACAATTGCAACCAACATGTAAAGCCTTATTTGTATCTTCAGATGTTTCATTCGGGTTCACTCACTTTGGGGTGCCTGGATTTAGGTGTTGTGGAGATGGGAACGCATGCTGAAAGCTGTGTTTGAGCTGCACTTGCCCCTTGTTTGCCACTTCTCCAGCAGTGACGGTGCTCACTGGCCAGGAGTCCTGTGAAGTGTCCACCCCCATAAAAGTGGACCCATTCACTTGGGCGCCCAGGGAGCTTGTGAGGAGCAACAGCGGGGATATCATTCGCTCTTCTTCATCTCGGACACATTTTCTTCCTAGGAAGGCCAACAAATGCAACATATATTTCAATCTGTGTGTGCTGAAATAACTGTTACCGGAAAGCACTTCTATATATTTACATACATGTATAGTTACATTGATTATGTATACTGATATGTAGATATATATTTATATTGAGAGATATATATTTATGTTGATATATATTTGTATTGAGAGAGATATATATATTGATATATGATTTTTTTTTTTTTAGGCAGGGCCTTGCTCTTATTTCCCAGGCCGGAGTGTAGTAGTGTCATCATAGCTCACTGCAACCTCGAACTCCTAGGCTCAAGCTATTTTCCCACCTCAGCCTCCCAAGTTGCTGGGATTACAGGCATGCCTCACTACACCCAGCTATTTTTTAAATTTTTTGTAGAGCTAGAGTCTCACTACGTTGCTCAGGCTGGTCTCGAACTCCTGAGCTCAAGTGATCTTTCCTGCCATGGCCTCCCAAAGTGCTGGGATTATAGGCATGAACCACTGTGTTTGGTGCGTACTTTTTAAAAAGCTAATAATAATGGCATCTTATCCTATAAGTACTTTTTAACATGTGTGTGTGATGAACAACCCTTGGTATACATAAAGGACAACTTTTAATTTCCGAAGTGAAAGTAATATTTTGTATGAAGTAATATTGTTTTTTTTTTTGGTGGGGGGAGACAGGGCCTTGTACGTCACCCATGCTGGAGTGCAGTGGCAGGATCAGCCTTGAACTTCTGGACTCAAGTGATCCTCCTGCTTGTGCCCCCCAAGTACCTGGGACTGCAGGCATGCACTACCACATCCAGTTAATTTTTGCATTTTTTGTAGAGTCTGTGTCTCATTATATTGCCCAGACTAGTCTTGAACTCCTGGGCTCAAGTGATCCTCCTGCCATGGCCTCTCAAAGTGCTGGGGTTACAGGCATGAGCCATCATGCCCAGCTTTAATTTTTTTTTTTTTTTTTTGTTCTGTGAATCTCAAAATCTTTGGAAATGTTATCTCATTTTATAATTTGTGTTGGTTTCCTTCAAATAATGAAAATGACCCAAAGATGCACTAAAACACCTTTCCAGACTCTCTGACAGGCCATGATGAAGGGCTGTGGTGTGAAGTTCTTGTCTATTCTTGTTTCTGTTGGTGTGGTGAGCAGGCCTTCTTGCCTTGGGCTGGCCGATGACCATGGGAAGTTGGTTTTGTTTTGTTTTGACTTCGTTCTTGTGCCTAGGCTGTGGAGCCTGGCCGATCATGCCTTGATCGCCCGCTGTAACATGGAGGAGGCGGTTCGCAGTGTAGCTTTCAGCCCCGACGGATCTCAGCTGGCCCTGGGCATGAAGGACGGCTCTTTCATTGTTCTCCGAGTCAGGCACGTACTGATGTTGAAATGGTATTTAGAAATGCTCTTGTGTTAAATGTTACAATTTTCCTGGTTAATACATGCCAGGACCTTAGGAAAAATCCATTTACCCATTCAAGTAGGAATACTGTAGATCTATGATTCCCTGTCTGTAATTCCAAAGTCCTAACACTCTGAAAATACAAAATTATTTGCTAATTTGGCAGCATAGTCTAACCCAGCAAACTGATGTGAGGTTGCTTATAATCTAGTACTCTCTTAGTAGGAATAATCATGCATCATGTGACTTGCTGCAAAATTACTGTGTTTAATACAGATTGCTGCCCCAGCCCCCAGTGGGGATGTTACATGATATATTGTGTATGAATCTTTCTAAAATCTAATGAATAATGAATTCCCAAGCACATCTAATTCCAAGGGTTTCAGATAAAAGACTGTGGGCTTTGTAGTAAGCCAAGAAAAGAGGAAGAAAGAGTAAAGCAGCATCCAGCAGCACCAGATGTTTAGAGGTGAGCTTTAGTAAAAGATTTCTCTACCCGTAATTGATATTAAAATGGAATATTTCCTATTTACTAACATCCTATATAATTTTTACTGGAGAAAATTATGACCCACCCTTGTAATTCCTCTGAATGCATTTGTTGTTCTCTGGACTCGCATGCTTTGTAATTACAGAAAAGAAATACAGCTGTAAATTAAATATTGCCCGCTTTGCACAGAGAATTCTCCATAGCTTTGATTGGAGAATGGTCTTAGCACAGTTTATTATACTACATTCTCACTACCAGATTTCTTTTTTGATGGACTTCTCAAGCCTCCTAACACAAACACACACATATTTCCAGGCACTTATTTTATGACATTATAGTACACTATAATGCTATTAATAAATGATAGCAGGTATGAGGGACTGTTATGTAGAACGGTTATTTGGAATTCTTTATGCATTCAGTTTTTTTGGAGTTGATGAAGCCATCTTTACTGGCTCAGGGGACCTGCTAGTCGTCATAATCCTGTCTCACAGTTGTAGGAAGAAAACAACCCCAGTGAGCTTTCAAATGTGAGCAGAAATTCTTAAAAGAATCTGGTCAGAAACAAAACAAAATATTCCATTGACTCACTGTATTCATGACTGAAATGTTTTAAATGATTACATCACAATTTAACATTTAAAAAGGTAATTTTCTTCAGCTGCTTTTTTGACTTGCTCTTTTTGTGACAAGTATCAAGCTTAACAGTCACTAGTTTCTTAAAGTATAAAAAAGATGATTTGTTTATGTTAACCTTGATATATTCTACCTTTCTCCATGGCGTATTTTTAAAACAATTTGACAAACCCCAACTTTTGAAACAAAAATTTTAGGGAAAAATAATACGTAGTTAAACATGAGAGCAAATATGCATTTCTTTTATAAACTTTAAAAATTGATACATAATACACATATTTTCAGGGTACATGTAATTGCATACATTCATATAGTTTGTGAAGATCAGATCAATGTAATTGGGCTATCCATCCCTTTAAATATTTTTTTTTTATGCTAGAGACATTTGAATTATTTTCTCCAATTTGGAAATATATGATAGATTATTATAACCTATAGTTACTCCACTGATCTATCAAATGCTAGATCTTACTTCTTCTGTCAAACTGTGGTTTGTACCCATTAATCAACCTCTCTTCATCACAAATATGCACTTTATTAAATTTTTTGTTTTTACTTTGGAAGCCCAAAATATCATTTAAACAGTTTGTTATTTTCCTATTTCCTAAAATGCCATAAATCTTAAATAATACCATTTTATACATTTCCTCAAAAGTTAATCCTTTAATTCCTGCAGGTTTGGTTCTCTTTCAACACACTTCTTTTTCTGACACATATATTTTAAAACTTGGATTTTCTGCTTGTGGATTTGCTGCTTATCATTTTGCTTTTTATTCTTACAGAGATATGACAGAAGTAGTTCACATCAAAGATCGAAAAGAAGTCATTCATGAAATGAAATTTTCTCCAGATGGTTCTTACCTTGCAGTGGGATCCAATGATGGCCCAGTAGATGTCTATGCTGTTGCCCAGAGGTATAAGAAAATTGGAGAATGCAGCAAGTCCCTTAGTTTCATCACGCACATTGACTGGTCCTTGGATAGTAAATACTTACAAACTAATGATGGTGCAGGAGAACGATTGTTCTACAAAATGCCATGTAAGTCATGTGGAGGCCTTGGATGTTTCTGAAAAGCAAAATTTTGAACCAGGTGAAGCAAATACAGGACAAGTGTCATGGCTGTTTTCGAATTTGTAAAGCAGGTTTTCTGGTTTTTGCTGGAAAGCCCCCCCCCCACCTCAGGGCAAGGAATGTTTTCTGTCACAAGATCACAAATCACAAACACTCAAAGGAAAGGTTGATGAGTTAGAACATGTTAAACTAAAAATTAGTGCACAATAAGGGAGACCATGAATGAAATTTACAGACAAGGCATAGACTAGGCATAAATTCTTGCCATTGTTATAATGGACAAAAGATATATATCTAGAATATACAAAGAATGCCTAAGGATAAGGGCAAGGGGAAAAAAAAACTAGAAAAATAGGCAAATCTCAAATAACCAATAAACAACTAGGAATCAGGGAAATGACAATTAAAACAACAGTAAAGTACCATTTTACACTATTTAGATTGGCAAAAGTCTGATGGCGAGAAGAGGGGAAATGAAACCACGTATACTGCTGGTGAGAACATGCACCAAGGCATGTGCACAAGGATGTTTGTTCTAGCAGTGTTTGTAATAGCCAAAAATGAGACACAATGCCTAAATGTTGATCAGCATGAGGAGAGTTAAGTTAAATGTGGTGTAGTCACATAATGGAATACTTCAAAGAACTTGAAAAAATTAAACTAGAGCTACTTGCATCAGTATGGATATATCTCAAAAATATGCTGAGCAGACAAAAGAAAGTTGTAGAATGATATATAGAATGTATGGTCATTTATATAAACTTTTAGCACATGAAAAAATTCTGTGTTGTTAATGACCATATACATATGTAGTAAATGTTTTAACAATGCGTGGGAATGACAGATACCTCATTCAGGGTGTTGGTTACCCTGAGAAGCAGAGATGATCTTGGAAAGAATAACCCAGTGGGGCCAGGCATGGTGGCTCATGCCTGTAATCCTAGCACTTTTGGAGGCTGTGGTGGGTGAATCACTTGAGGTCAGGAGTTCGAAACTAACCTGGCCAACATGGTGAAGCCCCATCTCTGCTAAAAATACAAAAAAATTAGCCAGGCATGATGGCGGGCACCTGTAATTCCAGCTACTTGGGAGGCTAAGGCAGCAGAATTGCTTGAATCCGGGAAGTGGAGGTTGCAGCGAGCTGAGATCGCACCACTGCACTCCAGCCTGGGCAACGGAGTGAGACTCCATCTCTAAAATAAATAAATAAATAAATAAATAAATGATAAAAATAAATAAATAAATTTAGAAAAACAGCCCAATGAATTTTAACTCTGAAACATTTTCTTTCTTTCTTTTTTTTTTTTTTTTTTTTGAGACAGAGTCTCACTCTGTCACCCAGGCTGGAGCGCAGTGGCCGGATCTCAGCTCACTGCAAGCTCCGCCTCTCGGGTTCACGCCATTCTCCTGCCTCAGCCTCCCGAGTAGCTGGGACTACAGGCGCCCGCCACCATGCCCGGCTAATTTTTTGTATTTTTTAGTAGAGACGGGGTGTCATCGTGTTAGCCAGGATGGTCTCGATCTCCTGACATTGTGATCCACCCGTCTCGGCCTCCCAAAGTGCTGGGATTACAGAAACATTTTCTTTAAAATTCTACTGTGATAAAGACGTAATGTTAAGATGTTTTGAAGCTGTGTGGTACAACACTTGTACACTATAGTAGTCTGTATAATTTTCTGTATGCTTTAAGTATTTCATAAATTTTTAAAATAGAGAAAATCTGAAACAACTGTAGAACCAACTTTCAAGTATTTGGATGTTCGTGACCTGTTTAGTTCATTAACCAAGTCTTTTGCTTTATCTATTATTTCTTCTTTCTTCCTGTTCTTTGCCCATTTCATTGTTCATTAGTATGTACCTAAAAAGTTGAATAAATGGTGATAATGCAAAATAATCATAATGCTTCTGTCAGTGCCTTGAACGCACAGTTCTGCAGCAGGGTTGGAAATGAATGAAAATGAAGTGGAGGTATCATCCATGGGTTTCAGCTTGTCAGGCAATAATACTCCCATCGTAACACAGATACCCAGGGATAGTCGGCTACATTATCATTAGGAAAACTGGTTTCTGCCAGAATAGAAAAGAACAGTCTATTGGAACTTTACAAGGAATGGCCCTGGGAGAATTAGAAACTCTGAGATCAGCTTAGAACTCCAACACAACATTTCAAGATTTAAGTCTTCAAAGATTTGAGGATCATAGTCCTTATTTACTTTGATTGTTTTAGTCCGGATCTGTGTTCTTCATAATTGGAATCTCTTATTGGTTATTTGGTGAAATGTGCCCATTGGGATTTTTTAAATGCTATTTTTGTGACCCTACCATAACTTTTATAAGAGATTCATCTGACTTACATAATACTCATTTACTAACATTTAGTTTGTATAATACCAAAATAAATGTTATAGATAAGACTCTGCCTTATCAAATTCTTCAGTGCACCATTGGTGAGGTATGTATTTCTTTGTTTTTCTTTGCTTGATATTACTTTTTAATATATTTTTTGTATGTGAAAAAATATTAAACACGTGTTTATCATTTGCAATAACAAAATACCATCCTGTTCAGGGGTGGCATCATAATTTACTTCATCACTCTCCTATTATTGGGTATTTGAGCTTATTTCTAGTTTCTTTCTTGGTCCAGTTGTTGGCATTCCAAATGCCTTTGTACTGGTGGAATTTCCTCTCCTGAGTTACTTCCTAGGACTGTATTCTCCAAGGCAAGAACACTAGGTCAAAGACTGTGTTCCAACTACAGATGTTTTTATTTTGTTGTCTCTTTAATGAACTTTTATGTAATGCTGTGTTACAGTCCAGAATTTTAAGGTGCCAGTTTGATAATGCACCAGTGTTATATAAGGGCATTTATTCTCACTGATTCTTTATTTTGAAAATATTTATTTTGAGAGAGAAATTAGGTAATATGCTTAATTGCTTTGATTTTGAGTTTTAAAATTGTGTGTAGCTAGACACTTACCCAAATGTATGTTTGTTTCCTCCTCTGCATGCTCTCTGGGGAACATCCCTGACCTGCTATGGTGGGAACTGGGTACTGGGCCGTCCACATTTGGGAATATACCCAGCACAATGGTTGGGATTATTTTCCCCAGTGAATTACATTTTATTTCATCATAATCTTGTAGATTTTCAGTGTCTAGTACTTACAAATTTAAATAATATTCACTAATTTTTTTCATTAATCTACTGAGCCTGAATTTTTAAAACATCACTTCTGAGCATCCTTAAATTATGAAAAATAGAAGCTCAGGATGGACTTTGGCTAAGTTTTTAAAACCTGGCAAAGCATTGGTGACTAAACATGATAATACATGATAAGTCTTTTCATTAATAATACAAAGCATAATACCATCTGTATCTAGGTAATTAAGTCATTGTTAGTAGCTTGAGACATTACATTTAGTATGATAATCATTTTCTTTTTAAATTTTTTCATACATTCATATATTATGGGTACATGTAAAATATTGTGACATGCATAGAATTTGTGTAGCGATCAGGTCAGGATATTTAGGGATGCATCACCTGAATGTTTCATCATTTTCTTTTTATGTCTGAGTTTTGAGTATGGGCTTTCTTTAAACCATGCAAAAAAGAAAAAATCACAAATGGAATAAAGAGATTAGAACATGTAGTTTTCTTTATCTACAAACTTTTTTTAAAGTTTCAGATCTTTATAAAAAATGAATAAATTAGAATAAGCTTTTTATTTAAATGTAATGTTAATATTGATTATTTTCAGCGGGGAAGTCTTTAACAAGTAAAGAAGAAATTAAAGGAATTCCTTGGGCTTCCTGGACATGTGTGAAAGGCCCTGAAGTGAGTGGAATTTGGCCCAAATACACTGAGGTTACTGACATCAACTCAGTGGATGCGAATTACAGCAGCTCAGTGTTGGTGTCTGGAGATGATTTTGGACTTGTTAAATTGTTTAGATTTCCTTGTCTCAAGAGAGGTAAGGCCAAAAGAGATGTTTCATTTCATAAAGATTTACTCTAAATTGAATATAGTACAATTAAGGCTGATCTTCCTGGTGTCTATTCCAGTACACTCTTTATTTTATCTTGTATATTCATATTTACTCTCTTTTTTTATTTTTTTTATTTTTGAGACGGAGTCTTGCTCTGTCGCCCAGGCTGGAGTGCAGTAGCACGATCTTGGCTCACTGCAACCTCCGCCTCCTGGGTTCACGCCATTCTCCTGCCTCAGCTTCCCGCGTAGCTGGGACTATAGGTGCTCGCCACTACACCCAGCTAATTTTTTGTGTTCTTTAGTAGAGACGGGGTTTCACTGTGTTAGCCAGGATGGTCTCAATCTCCTGACCTGGTGATCTGCCCGTCTCGGCCTCCCGAAGTGCTGGGATTACAGGCATGAGCCACCACGCCCGGCCCATATTTACTCTTAAATAATTTTAAATAGATTGTGTTGTTAATGTCTTCTACTTTTGACATCCTAAGATATGCAGTTTTGCAAATTTAAGTCAGAATTTGCTAATAGAGTTCTTACCATATTGCGATTTGTAAGCCTTGTTTCATGTTTCAAACAAGTGATATTTATGTAAATATTCATAGTTTATATATAGTCCGTTAAAATGTTGTAACTAAAATTCTTTTATGATTCAGAGCTATTGTGCTTATACATGGAAAAGCAAAGGAAATCCTTTCAGACATAATTAAAATCTGACCACGGTTGTTGTGGTGATAATAGTTTATGAATCTCTCGTCATAGCAGTAATTTTACAAAGTAGGTTTACATAACTGGTGAAATTTTTGAGAGAAGTTTGATTCAAAACAACCCTCTTTTGCCCTCGTGTTTTGTTGTTGTTTTGTTTTGTTAAAATTGTTTGACTTCAATTATGTGGCACGCTCAAGCTTTGTAGAAGGTGATGAATTAACCGTGTAATGACCTCTTCTTCCTTTGCAAGTTTAGGCAAAGCCATATTCAGGCTCTTCTGAGACTCCTCAACTGTGCCTGAAAATCTGATCTTAGAAAAGTAATCAACAGGGACATGCTACTGCCTGAAAACTCTTTCACTTGAACAATTTTTAGATTAAGCACAGAAAGGGATTGAAAAATGCAATCAGAAAGTCATTTTCAGCTAACTGGCAGCTTTGAAGCAGTGACAATTATGGTACAAATGGAACATAAAATGCATAGCAAGACACCATCGCTGAAACATCACAAAATGACCATCCGTTTAAAATGCGCAAGGCACAGAATTACCTCAACATGCGCAGTTCATACTCTTCTTTTTCCCCACAAGAGCCCTTTGAGTAACAGGGCATAGCTTGTTAGATTGAGTCGTATACTTGCAAGGGGCAAGTTAGGCCTCTAAGAAATTATCTGGGAATTCAGAATTGAGAGGAAACAACATTGGGGTCAGTGGCAACACTACTGGTCTCCAGTGTCAGAACTTGAGAATAAACATAACTCAAGGAGAATTGATATCCTATATATCCTAAGTCTTGTAAGGTGTGCTTGGGTCTGGAAAATAGCAATGGAAATGTGAATCTATTATTAGAACAGAAAGGGTGTGTTGTGTTAGTCTATTCTTACATTGCTGTAAAAAAGTACCTGAGACTTGGTAATTTATAAAGAAGAGAGGTTTAATTGGCTCACGGTTCTGTAGGTTGTACAGGAAGCATGATGCTGGCATTTGCTCGGCATCTGGGGGCGCCTCAGGAAACTTACCATCACAGCAGAAGGTGAGGGGGAGAAGGCACATCATATGGCCAGAGCAGGAGCAAGAGGGAGCTAGAGGAGGGTGCCCCACGCTTTTAAACAACCAGATCCCGGGCCGGGCGCGGTGGCTCACGCCTGTAATCCCTGCACTTTGGGAGGCCGAGGCGGGCGGATCACGAGGTCAGGAGATCGAGACCATCCTGGCTAACACGGTGAAACCCCGTCTCTACTAAAATACAAAAAATTAGCCGGGCGCGGTGGCGGGTGCCTGTAGTCCCAGCTACTCCGGAGGCTGAGGCAGGAGAATGGCGCGAACCCGGGAGGCGGAGCTTGCAGTGAGCCGAGATGGTGCCACTGCACTCCAGCCTGGGTGACAGAGTGAAGGCTCCGCCTCAAAAAAAAAAAAAAAAAAAAAAAAAAACCAGATCCCGTGAAAATTTGTTCACTGTTATGAGGACAGCACCAAGAGAATGATGCTAACCCATTCATGAGAAATTCACCCCCATAATCCAGTTACCTTATACCAGGCCCCACCTCCCATTCTGGGGATTACAGTTCAACATGAGGTTTGAACAAGGACACATATCCAAACTATGTTAGAGAGGGGGAGTAGTGCTGTCAAAATGAGTCACCATTACATAAAAAACAACTCTTTGGATAATGGCACACAGAGGGCATCTGCATGAATGAGGAGAGATGGACAGCCAGATGACAGTGGGTGAGAGTTGCAAAACTCACCTCCGCAACCCACAAACGCATGCATGTCGTCATAGCAAATGGACTTGTGTTTTACTTTTCATGACACATGGCTTATAAATTTTATAATTTGCCTCTGAGACATTCAGGCTTTTGTGTCCTTTTTGTGCCAAAACTAGTGAGGAAGTGAATAAAAGAGAGGGAATTGTTGATGGGACTAATTGCAGTTGGTGGGATGTATCTGTCTATAATTTAGGTGACAAGCGACAAGTATTCCCCGTACGTTTTGAACCTGTAAACAGCCAGATATGAACAGGTGCTGATGACCATGAGCAGTTGTGGGAAATGACCAAACATTATTGTTTTCCATTGTGATTTTTAAAAACTCCCAACCAACTTAATATGACTTGTTTGCAATTATGTGTGTTTAACATTCAGTTGCACAGTAATTAGATATAAGTGTTCTGCAGTTAATGAAAATGACTGCTACTGGTATTATGTTTACGTAGCCAAACCAATTTGTTTTTCTCATTTTGACAGTTTTCACATCTTAAAATAATTAGGATCAATACTGACAGCTTTCTCTGATACCACTTAGACTATATCCTGTTTGACCATCACCACACAGACCCTGAAATGATGTAAAATCCAAGGTCTTGCTCAATGACATTTGCCATGTCCTAATAGCCTTGGTACTCACCCCTACTCCAAGGGGAGACTCAGAGGCTCTCCGTGTTCCACCTGGTGCACCCGTTCCATTCCTTCTTTGCATTATACCTCAGCAACCCATGAAAGTATCCGTGTCCTCATAGCAAATGGACTTGTGTTGTACATTTTATGACACATGGCTTATAGACATAGAGGTGGCTTGCACAGCCACCTCCCATGATGAGTGTCCTGAATGTTAAGACTTGAGTTGTGGAAATCTTGGATCTTGGATCTTGGACGGGCCAGTGCTGGCCTTCCATATGTCATGGATAAGCTCGATGCAGTGCAGGGACAGGAAGGCCAGTGTGGCTAGAACATAGTGCACAAGCAGAAGAATTGTGTACCGTGACACTGGAGAGGGTGACAGGGCTGTGTCGTAAAGGGCCCCCTGGCCACTACTAGAAATCAGAGTCGTCTTCTAAGTGCAGTGAAAAACTATGGACAGTTTTACATGGAGTGATATAACCAATCTAAGTTTTTGAGACTGTTTTGATATTTTGTGGAATGGTTAGGAAAAGGGAGGTTTCAAGTAGAGAAGTTATTGCAAGAGTCCAGGTAGGAGATGATGTGGCTTGGACAAAGGTATTAGGAAGAGATACAGAGAGGTGGTCAGGCTTAGGAAACAGTTTCAAGGCAGAGCTGAGGGTCTTACAGATGGATTGGATATGAGAATAGAGGGAAAGTAAGTAATCAAGGATGACTTCTAAGTTTCAGACTTGAGCATTGGGGTGAGTGGTAGCAGCATTTACAGAGCTGGGAAAATGAGAAAAAAGATGTTTGTCTCTGGGAGTACACATAAGGGGAAGGGAAACGTCTCGGTCTGTTTTCCCTGTTGTAAGTTAGGGGTCCGTATTGGGCATCCAGGTGGACATGGCACACAGCTGTCAGTGCTCCAGGGAGACTTCGGGACCGGAGATGAGCACTTGGCAGTCAAATTGACAGCACTTAAAAGCCACAAGGGAGGAGGTTGATAGAGAAGAGATGAGAGCTGAGGCTGAGCCCTCCTGTGGTGCAGAGGACAAAGGGAGGTCTGGTGGAGTCATTCAGTGTCCCGAGGAAAGCCTTTTCGTTTATTCAAGAAGTGTTTGTTAAATGCTGTTCTAGGGGATGGAGATAGGCCAGTGAGGAAAACAAGCACAAATCCCTGCCCTCGTGGAACTTTTGTTCTACTGAAGGTCCACAGTTAATATGCAAGAAAATATAAACATAATTTGATTGTGAGAAATGCTATGAAGAAAAAGAAAGCAAACAGTGGGAGCAGAGAATGCTGGAGTTGGTCAGTGTAGTGTTCTAAATAAGTTGGTCAAAGAGGGGCTTGCTGTTACAGTTTTATTTGACTTAGAACCTGAAGGAGAATGAAGGATCCAGCCGTTCAGATATCTAGGGAGAGAGCACTTCAGACAGAGGAAATGGCAAAGGCCTAGAAGCAGAGAATACCTAGCATGTTTGGGGAATAGCAAAGAGACCAGTGTGCCTGGAGCAGAGTGAGTGAGGGGGAGAGAGGGCAGAAAGAAAAGATCACAGAGATAAGGCCTAAGTATTAATGACACTAATGCTTTTGCAGATTCTAGTTCCAGACTACAAAGGCTGTACTAATTATCTATTGCTGCATAACCAGTTATCCTCCAAACTTAAAAGTGTAAATGCACAAACACTTATTATATCATGGTTTTTGTGAGTCAAGGTTTCCCAAGAAGCACAGCTGGGTGATTCCAATTCAGGGTCTCTCGTGAGGTTGCAGTCATGTGAAGGCTAGACCAAGGCCAGAGGATTCACTTCTTCCAAGATGGCTCACTCATGTGGCTCTTGGCAGGAGGCCTCAGTTCCTGCTACATGAGCCTCTCCATAGATTGCTCCAGTGTGCTTATGACATGGCATATAGAGATCCAAGAGAGACAGCAAGGAAGAATCTGCAGTACCTTTTATAACCTCCTCTTAGATGTTACCTTCACTTTTGCCATATTCTGTTCATTTTGCATCAGAGAATTTGTGGACATATTTTTAAACCTCTACAAAGAGATAGGCTAATTGATCTGTGAGGAAGGTATAAAGGTCAAGGAAGCAAAGAAGAGGCCAACACGTTAAGATCTAAAGAGAGACGGGAAGCGTATACCCTGCTCCCCAATTACTCAATCATCAGCCAACATTTCCAACTCACCTTAGTTGGAGCCAGTTTGACTTTATTACCAAACTGATTTAGGTAACTGTTTGAAGTAGGCAAGTTTGCTTTTGAGACCCAATGCTTCCTTTCCCTTCTGCAGCAGAATTCCCGTAATTTTTTTCAGAGCCCCTAATATAATGGGGCTTACCTGGTCAGAGCATGCTCTCAAAAAATGTATGAGCATGACATGTAGCAGTAATTTTCACCTTCTTACAAATCATTGCCTCTCCAGTGGACATGTGAAATTTAAACATGTGGTAGTTGAACAGATGGCCTCCCCCAACCCTAATAAAAGGGATTTCATTTGAGAAACTGTAAGAAATAGAATGTTTTTGAAGAGAAGTTGGGGTGTTTGACCTCTTGAAATCTCCTGTGGACTTTGGGGTTCCAGGCCTCCATGTAAGATGGACCCTGCTTATTACTCGAGTGCCTCGATGCTGCTGTGTATTGAGCATATGCTGAAGGCTTTACTACTGTAGTTCAACCACAAATATCACTTCAAGTAGCTTTTTCTATTGCACTCACTACCTGGGGTTAGTGTTCACTGAGTAAAGCAATCAATTTAAGGAGGGAAAAATGATTCTCGAAACTCTATGTCTACATGACTCTAAACAGTAATTTTATTTCCATAGAATTATTTTGTTTCCCTGTTGCAAAGCATTGCCTGTTTTATCTTGTATTTAAATAAGAATGTGTAAGATGTTCGTTCTCTATCATTTATTTTCAGAATCCGTGAAGCAGTAGGCATTATTTGGAACAGGTTCAGATGTGTCTTTAGCCACAGGGCTTAAATTTTTTTTTTTTTTTTTTTTTTTTTGAGACGGAGTCTCACGCTGTTGCCCAGGCTGGAGTGCAGTGGCGCAATCTCGGCTCACTGCAAGCTCCGCCTCCCAGGTTCCCGCCATTCTCCTGCCTCAGCCTCCTGAGTAGCTGGGACTACAGGCGCCCGCCACCGCGCCCGGCTAATTTTTTGTATTTTTAGTAGAGACGGGGTTTCACTGTGGTCTCGATCTCCTGACCTTGTGATCCGCCCGCCAGGGCTTAAATTTTAAGACCTATTTTTAGCTTACTGCATATTGGAATAATTGAGATACCTTTTGAAGCATTTGCTTATTTGTTACAATATGTAAGACTGAACTTCATTTTCAGATACATTTAAAGATTTTGCTCCTTAACATGAACAGGAGGGGGGTTGTTTTAAACTAATGAACTCTTCCTTTTTCGTAACTAATTCTCTCAAAAAATATTCTTTCAGGAGCCAAATTTAGAAAGTATGTGGGCCATTCTGCACATGTCACAAACGTCCGCTGGTCCCATGACTTTCAGTGGGTGTTGAGCACAGGAGGGGCTGATCACTCAGTTTTCCAGTGGAGGTTTATTCCAGAAGGTGTCAGCAACGGCATGCTGGAAACTGCACCCCAAGGTAAACCCAGCAGTAATTTCTTAACATCATTTGATTTTTCAATAAGCATTTCAAAGAATGATCTAATATGTATCCTATAGGTAAGGAGTTTAAGCAATTTTGGAAAATTGATTTCTGTCATCTTAAAATTTTAAGAAAAGAAAAAACTTTAAAGATTAATATGGGTCAGTTGGATAATTTTCTTTGAACGGTGTTGCTATACCAAATCCAAGTTGAGCAGGACGTCAGCAACGTGACATCTGCAATGTCAGAATAGGAAGCTCCTGACTCTCCCTCCAAATACTTGATTTGCAGGTCAGTTCCCTCTGAGAGAAAGTCATACAAGTTGAGACACTCCTACCCGCCAGGCAACTGAGAAAACATCCACAGCGGGTAGGTAGGAAAAGCTGAGCACTGCTTCATGAAATCAGGACAGGAATCCCCACCACCTAACCTCTCCCGTGGAGAGAAGGGTTTGGACCTCACACATAGTGCCCTAACCCTAGGTTCCCCACGGATTGGCTCTTAATTTACCAAGTCTGGGAGTGGAGAGCTTTAGACATTTGGGAGTCTCTAGACCATGGGAAAGAAGCCTTCGTTTGACACAAGTGCTCAAACCTTCCAGGGCCTTCATCGCCTGGAGCAGTTCTGACAAGGGGCTTAAAAAATGCAGCCCAGTTTCTACCTAGAAGGGGTTTATGACACATTTCTGGAGGCTACTTGGCGGCCTGGGTTCTAACCAATATGCAACAGGGAGTTAGAGGCGGAGACACACATTAGGCCAGCTGGCAGCCTAAGAAACAGGCTGTTACCTCTGAGCCTCCTCCCATGACTCATCCCAGCAATAACTCCAGGTCTAATAATATCCTCTGGAAGGAGTTTGTCCACACATTGAGCTCCCCAACTTTTATAGCTTCCACTCGAGGAACCGCATCCTAAACCTCCCACTTCTGGGAGCAGAGGGGACGAAGTATATGAGTGTCTATCTAGACCGTAGAGAAAAGTGGCAGTTTTATATGGACTTGTAGGTACTTCCAGCGGCTTCTTCCCTTAGGAGCAGTGATGAGAAGGTGCTCTAAGAGTGCAGCTCCTCATTTCTCCCCAGATGGGGTTTATACCATGCGTTGAACGCCCAACTTTTACCCCTGCCTCCCAGAGGACTCCATCCTAAACCTCTTAGCTCTGGGAGCAGAAGGGACTAGGAATATTCTAGTCTTCCTGTATCACAGAACAAAGATGTGGTCTTAAATGGGTTTACAAACACTTCCAGGAGCTACATCCCCTTGGAGGAGTGCAGAAAAAAGTTGGGAATGTGCAACTCCCATTTTTTTGTCCAGAAGGGGCTTACAGCACACACTTCCAATGCTACCTGATGACCTGCCATCTAATGACTTCCATCAGGGAGCTAACAGGGCGAGCATGTAATAGCCTTCCAGCAGCCAGAGCTCAGCACATGAGCCTTTGCTCTGGCTCACCCCAGTAATAAATCTAAGCCTACCCGTACTTCCTGGAAAAAGTTTGGTCAGACACCAAGTGCCGCACCTTCCATAGCTCCCACCTGTCTCCTTAGTGAACTAGCTCTAGAAATTGACAGGGCTTCGCATTCCTGAGTGGACTTAAACCACAGAAAATGAAGAGGTAGAGGTACAATGGGCCCACTTCAGGAGTTATCTCCCCAGGATTGGAGGATACAGCCTAAATGTGAGTACAGGCATTTGTCACAGATTCTCTACCTGGCTTAGTGCAGAAATAGTGAGCGGTAAATGACTGTGCTCAGCTTCACTGTGAAGACAGAAGGAATTGAAACACATAGCCCACCCTCCAACCCTTCTAGCTACATATCAAGAGAGTCTGATGTGTTCCACCTTTACAGTCTTGTGGTACCAACAGGACATGGCACATCTTAAGCTCTAGAGGCCGCCAAAACAGACAGTAGTCTGGACAAACACACAGATTTGAGAGGCACCTTAAAAATCGTTGGCCAGTCAGACTGGTGAGATCCTTCTCCTATACAAGGCTAGTCTGACGAGATAGGGAGAGGTAGTATGTATTTTTTTTTAATCTAATTCACTCAAACCAACACACAGCATCAATGACAATGAAAAAATGAAATTCCTGATAAATGAACAAGACATCTCCAGAAAGCAACCTCAGTTAAGTAGAGATATGTGATTTTCCCAACAGGGAATTCAAAATAATAGTCATAAAGACCCTCACTGAGGTCAAGAGAGCAATATTAGAACAAATTGAGAACTGTACAGATAGAAGGTGTTTTTTAAAAAGTACTCAATGAATTTTGGTACTTTAAAAATACTTTCTCTGAGGGTCGGCTTGGTGCGGTGACTTATGACTGTAATCCCAGCACTTTGGGAGGCTGAGGCAGGTGGATCACTTGAGGTCAGGAGTTTGAACACCAGCCTGGCCAACATGGTGAAACACCCCATCTCTACTAAAAATACAAAAATTAGTCGGGTGTGGTGGCACACGTCTGTAATCCCAGCTACAGGGGAGGCTGTGGCATGAGAATTGCTTGAACCCAGGAGGTGAAAGTTGCAATGAGCCAAGATTGCACTACCGCACTCCAGCCTGGGTGACAGAACATGACTCCATCTCAAAAAAACTTTCTCCGAAGAGTACTGCAACTGAACTGAAAAATTCAATAGAGAGGTTCAACAGCAGACTAGATTAAGCAGAAGAAAGGAACAGTGAACTTAAAGACAGATTACTGGAAACCATCCAATCTGAGAAACAAAGAGAAAAAGAGTAAAGATAGCTTAGAGACATATGGTGGTCCAACAACTTATGTGTTACCAACATGCCAAAAAGAGAAGAGAGAGAAATGGGCAGAAAACATGTTCAAAGAAATAACAGCAGGAAAAATCCCATACCTAGGAAAGAAAATAAGCCAAATCTAGGAAGCACTAAAGGACACCAAGTAAGATGAATCCAAAAAGATGCACCCCCAAGAAACATCTTAAATTATCAAAAGGTAAAGGCAGAGCTTTGAAAGTAGTAAGGGAAAAGAGAATCATCACACATAAGGAAACCTCTGTAAAACCATCAGCGGATTTCCCAAATGCAAGTTGAAGGTCTAAGGTTTATGTGAAGAATTAACCTTTGGGGATAACAGGAGAGGATACATTTCGGCTTCCTTAGGATAATTGTAACAGGTGGTGAGTCTGCTCAGTCAGGCTGCAGGGGGACAGGGTAACCTTTGAAATGGAAGTGGCCTTCAAAATGGGGCTTAAGGAATGGTTCATGGTTGGGGCCTATGTGTTCCAATTCAGTGGACATGTATGTAGTCTTTTCATTTATATCCACTCTTATGTCAGCAGGGATGAACAGGTGGTAAAATGAAAAAATTATTTGGATAAATGTCGACAAGAGTTCTGTGGTGGTTTGGGCCATGACAATTACCAACACTTGGTGGGCATGGTTAAACGGCTAAAGAGGATCTGTATTGAAGTAAACGGTTGGATTTATTTTCGCTCCAGCCTTTCCCTTTTAAAAACCTGCCCATTTTACAAAACAAAGCTTAAAACCCAGGTATCTACTATGTAATAGAAATGTGTAAATGACCAACCTGGGCAACATGGTGAAACCTTGTCCCTACAAATAAAATTTAAAAATTAACTGGGCATGGTGGTATGCACCTCTGTAGTCCCAGCTGCCAGGAGACTGAGGTGGGAGGATAGCTTGAGCCCCGGAGGGAGGAGGTTGTAGTGAGCTGAGACTGTGCCACTGCACTCCAGCCTGGGAGACAGACCCTGTCTCAGAAAAAGTGTAAATGAGTTTAGTCTGCCTGGTGAGTGGTGTGGGGAAGGAAGTTGGCCTAATCTGTTAATGTTCCTGAAAGGAGTGAAGGGTGGGCTGAATTAAACCAAAAGATGAAAGAAAGATGTTTTAACAATTTATATTAAATGAAAACTACGGTATAGTTTCTATTCACTTTGCTAGGATAAAAGGAAAAACATTTTAGGTAATTTCAACTGCTCAGAGTCTCAGAATTTTTGCTTGTTTCTTATGGGTTGTACCTCTGCAGAAGGTGGAACTGATTCCTACAGTGAAGAATCTGATTCAGATTTATCTGACGTGCCCGAATTGGACTCTGATATTGAGCAAGAAACTCAAATCAATTATGATCGCCAGGTCAGTAAGCAGGGAGCAATGAAAATTTGTAACCCTAGAAGGGGATCTCATTGGATTTGGACATAGCACTAAAAATCACTGGCACTTAGACAAAGAAAATTAAGGCAAAAACAAGAAAAGTAGTCTACTTTGTGCCTTTAAGTGCAGGTTAAACCCAAAGTTTCAAGACTGAACCCCTGGTATTTGGGCTTTTTGCCTCCCCAGCACCTAAAACTTTGAAATATTTTTTGGAAGAAAAATGTGCAAGTAAGCCATAGGTCTTTTTTCACTTTCTTAGCAGATTACGAAAGCATATGTTTTCTTTACAAGGATGGATACCCTTGAGGCATGGTGGGTTTGCATGTGAGCTTGTTAGCCCAGTTTTTCTATTAACTCTTGCAACCATTTCCATTTAATCAAAGTAATTATCTACTTAAAGTAAAAGCTCAAATAAAATGTGTATTAATCTCTCCAGTCAGAAATGACCTCTAGTAGGAAAGCTGATCAGTTGACTTCAATTTTTTTTTTGGAAGTTGACATATCATTTTAGCGCTAAACAGTGAGTGTTGAAGCAATCCCTGAGAGGAATCTGAACACATATCACCTTGTTACGGCAATAACCATGGGGGTTCTCTTTTTCTTCCTTGTCACTTAACAAAGATATGCAAAGCAGATTCTGTACATGAATGTGGAATCAATAAGACTTCAAATTTCAGATACATCAACTGTCAGTGTTGCCAATAGAGATTTAGGATATAGGCCTATGGCAGGTACCATGTATTGAAAGAAGTTAAGTAATTTGCCCATGTCCACTTTGCTTGTAGTATTAGGATAACAATGCTTATCTAGGCTCCTCTCCAAAGTGCACACTCTATGCACCACCTGGTTTGCCTCTATGTAAGCACTAAGTTGAAATAGTTTTCAGCCCATAATTGTCACTCATTGATTCAGGGTTTGAAAAATTGTGTTCATAGTAAGACAGTCTAATGGTTTGGGTCAACCCCATGATGAAATCATCTTAACTGTGTATTGACACATTGTATTATGCAATATGACTACTAAAAAGGACTTGAAAAGAGATTATTGTCTGTGGCCGTACACCCCTGAACGTAGTCGATCTTGCCTGAAAGGGAATTATTAATGTGGAAATATTATGCAAACACTAAACAATATTATACTCTGGTATCAGGAGACAATAAAATTTAAACACAATACAAAATTTAGGAAAACAAATCTTTAATTGGGAAGTGTTTGTTTAATAAAATGATGCCAATAGAAGAAAGAAAAGGGACCAGGCACAGTGGCTCATTCCTGTAATGCCGATGTTTTGGGAGGATGAGGTGGGAGCATCACTTGAGGCCTGGAGCTTGAGACCAGCGTAGTTAACATAGTCTCTGTATCTATTTAAAAAAATAAATGCTGGGTGTGTGCCTATAGTCCTAGCTACTCAGGAAGCTGAGGTGGGAGGATTGCTTGAGCCCAGGAGTTTGAGGGCTACAGTGAGCCCTGATCACGCCACCGTACTCCAGTCTAGGCAATAGAGCAAGACCCTGTCTCTAAGGAAAATGAATAAAAGAATGAAAAGATAGACTTAAAATTCATGCCTACAACTTAAACAGTTTGAATATCCTTAATGTGAAAATCTGAATTCTCCAAAATCCAAAACTTCGTAAGTACCAGTATGATGCTCAAAGGAAATGTGCATTGGAGCATTTTGTATTTTGGTTTTGGATTTGGAATGCTCAACCAGTAAGAATAATGCAAATATTCCAAGACCTGAAAAAATCTGAAATCTGAAACACTTCTGATCCCAGACATTTCAAATAAGGAATACTCAGCCTGTATATTCTTCCTGACATTTCACTTTCCAGTGCTTATACTGATACATGATTTCTATTCACAGTATTCCTGAGTTATTCCTGAACAGGGGTTTTTAAACTCAATTTTACAGATGAGAATTTGAGGCCAACAGAGGTTGTGAGACCTGTTTAAACAATAGAAATATCAAGACTAGAATTCATTGCTCTAAAGTAAATCGTTGGTGAGCTGATGAAAGCATCATGAATTAAGATGAATAATTATCTTTAGATTCTAGAAGCTTAGTTAATTGCATCTATAGTAGACAAAACTAGTGAGATTTCTTCTGACTTTTACAAATAATTTTTGATCAAATCCTAAACAGGGACCTTATATTTTATGATTTTTAAAATAGTTTAATTAAATAAAAACTTAAGATGAGAAATTATTACTAGATTGGATTTCATTCTCTGCCTGTTAAATGGACATTTCTTGGTAGCAAAGTATAAATACACAGTAAACAACAGATTGGTTTTTATGTGCATTTAAATGGTACAATCAGCAGCACATTTTAGGTCCCAAGTTAGACCAAGATTGATCTTTGCTCTATATCTCAGATCTGTTAAGATGCATGAAGCTATGAAGGGAATATAATTCCAAAGAGGGATTTCAGGAGAAAATTGTCATGACTCATAAGGTCCACATTTTTCAAATTTCAGAATCAGTAAGAGATTTCTGGCCTTAGAAGAAATAAAACAAAATATTTTATTTATATTTTACCGATACTTAATTTCCTTTAAAATTTACCAATATATTTTCTAGACATTAAGAAAACAGTAACCAATCAAGAAAGATTATCTTAAAATCCCAATTATTTAACAAAATAGTTCATATTACTTTTGTTCATTAGGAAAAAATATTCAATCTCATGTCTTATGTTTTCAAAGACACTTTATTGAAGCAATGAAAGATTTTACAAGAATGCTAAGATATTGATATTTTTGGAACCTCATGAAAGGCATCTCACCCAGATGTTTCTGTTGTACTTTAAGGTTTACAAAGAAGATCTACCTCAGCTAAAGCAACAAAGTAAAGAGAAAAACCACGTAGTGCCCTTCCTCAAACGAGAAAAGGCTCCTGAGGACAGCTTGAAACTCCAGTTCATACACGGGTGGGTGGCCTGTCATGGGCGCCTGTGCGTGTTCCTCTGTCTCTGCCTGGTTATCACCAGTCTTAGCACCAGGCTTAAGGGATCCCCTCCCCTCAGTGTTGTCCTCCTCCTGGCTAGCTCTTCTCTGCAGTGTGCACTTGAACCTGTGGTTGCTATTTTAAGTGTGACTCTGTCCAGTTTCCTCGTCGATGTTCTGTGCCATCACAGTGTGATTGCCTCTAGATTTTTCAGACTTCATGTAATTCCATGACATAAAGGGTACTGCTGCTCATTGCTGCTGCACTTCTTTCTCATCACCATCTTCACTTTCTGTTTCTCCTTTCCCCTAATCCCCTGCTCTGTTTTGCTGGCTCCACCATAGGACAGTATTTCCTTCAAATATATTCTGCACATGTGCCCAAAATAATTTTGAATTTTATAAAATTATATGCACCCTTGCATATTTTAAGGAGACAACTAAAACTTTTTAATGTCAGTTTAAGTGGTTGAGAAGATGCTGTCTATATTATGAATACATCAGTCCTTTAAATGGACGCAAAGGAACCTAAATGCCATAAATATTTGATTCTCACTATTATCAACTTAAAAAATACGTGAGGCCAGATACAGTGGCTCACACCTGTGATCTCAGCACTTTGGGAGGCTGTGGAGGTGGGATTGCTTGAGTCCAGGAGTCCGAGACCAGCCTGGGCAACATGGTGAAATCTCATCTCTACAAAAAGCTAGCCAGATGTGGTGGCGTGCACCTCTAGTCCCAGCTACCCAGGAGGGACGCTTGAGGTAGAGGAATCGCCTGAGTTGGGGAGGTCTAGGCTGCAGTGAGCCATGATCTTGCCAGTGCACTCCAGCCTGGGTAAGAGTGAGGCCCTGTCTCAAAAGGGTAAAAAAAATACATGAACAAGTCCTTCTGTAACAGGAAGAAATTTTACATCATTCGTATTTCTACCTAAGCTCATATTTCCATTCTAATTTTCCCATAAAATTTTACCCTAACATAATCTTTTTATGCTTGAGAGTCCTTTGTCACCATACCTTCTGCAAGAAAAAAAAATTTCTGTGACCCTAAGACTCTAACTCAGCCCAATACAGTATCCACTAGCCACACACAGCCACTGAGCACTTAAAATGTGGCTATTCTGAAAAAAGATGTTCTGCATGTGTAAAATGCACACCAATTTTGAAGACTTACTATGAAAAGAGGAATGTAAAATATCTCATAAGTTTTTATATTGATTACATGTTGACATAGTAATACCTTAGATGTGTTTTGGGTTTAAAATGTTACGAAATAAATTTTGTTTTCTCTTTTTCTAATGTGGCAACTAACAAATTTTTAATTACTTAGGAGGATCATGTTATTTTTCTGTTAGATAGTGCTGCTCCCTTAACAATTTATTTGAATTATAACTATTAGTAAAATCGACTAAGTCAACATAAATGTATTACTAATTATGACATATAATTATTAAGCACAGAAAAATTTTGTTGGAAATTATTTTAATATGATGGATTCGTTTTCAATTGCAAGATCTGTGCACTTATATTACTTATTGTTAGAATGTAACAAAGTTCAATATTGAGTCTATTCTCAGTTCTCTTTCTTGTATAGATGTAAGCTCTGAGAAAGTTTATTCTCCTAAGTAGGTAAGAATGGAGGCCATTTTATAGCAATGTTATTCAATTCTTCAAACTCCTATGATAGGCCAAAAAAGTCATATTTGATTTTGATACATCACAAAAAATAATGATCTTTCAGCTGGTAATTCCATTAAGTGTCTGTACAATTTTGTTGAAAGCAAAGAATTGGAAATCACTTGATTTGCAGGATTCCTTAGCCAGTCATTAGAGTTGTTTTCTTTCAACATCCATACTTGTGTTTTGAATTGTTCCTTTGTTTTGGTGCCCCTGGAAGGGTCTGTGTCCCAGCGTAATACCGCATGGTAGGATTCCAGATGGAGGAGAGGAATGGCTTCCTACAGTGGGCAGAAGGCATTTATGAGAGGGGAGATAGGAAAGGAGTACCTGCGTCTCATCACAGATGTGTTCTCAGATGATCATTTTTAAGAAAAAGCACACACAATAGCTGAAGATCTGCAAACAGATTCTGTTATAATGTTCAGTGCCCATGTGCCTTTTTGAAAGTCATCTCATGCCCTCAAATGGCCACATATCCTCTTTTAAACATTGCTGTCCTATGTGACACCTGGGGTTCCACTTGTACTTGTTCACGTCAATATGTTAGCCTTGCCTCTGACATCTCCTGCTCCGTGCATTTGCTGTTTGTTCAACCACTGTGCATTTCTTGGACCTGTGCTTCAGTTATAGAGGCTACGACTGTAGAAACAATCTGTTCTACACACAAGCTGGAGAAGTAGTCTACCACATTGCCGCAGTTGCTGTTGTGTATAACCGGCAGCAGCACTCCCAGAGGCTGTACCTGGGGCACGACGACGACATTCTCAGCCTGACCATCCATCCAGTGAAGGACTATGTGGCTACTGGGCAGGTATATATCTCCTGTAAAACTAGGGCCTAGCCAAAAAGAGAATTAAATTTTTGAAGTCAGTTTACATATTAGAAATTCAAGAAATACTGGGTAGAAATAAACATGAGATGGGAAGGTGAAGATTGAGTGAACACTGCATCCTTCCATGATGATGGGTGAATCAACCAAAGCATTCTAGCACTATTGGGAGACCTCTGAGGAGTTCTTTCCCTGGAATGATGAGATCTACGAATGGGACCAGCTAAAACTAAAATAGTGAAAGTTTTGTCAAGGAGCAGTTTTATATACTTCCTCACTGTATGCCTAGAACTTAGTGTGTTCTAGGTACTCAGTAAATATTTATTGAATGAAACATTTAAAAATACTATAACATCTAGAGTATAATTATATTTGTAAGACTTAAAACCATAAGACTTTTGATTAATTTATATTTTAGCCTTATGAAAACACCTTGAATTTTATCTGACCTTTTTTTTGAAATGCCTAAACCTTAGATTGAGTCTATAATTGAAAAAGCTGCTAAAACAGGGACGCTCTACATTCATTTGGGGATGGAAAGAGAAAAATAATAGTTTATTTATTAAAGACTTTATTAAACTCAGATGTATTACCTTGCTGGCAAAAGAGTAATATTGTCAAAAGTATTTTTAGTTTTATCTTTTCCTCAAATGTATAGATTATACTTTTGTTCAGTTTTTATAATGAGTGTTTAATTGCAGATAATACTTCAACTGGTATTAACTAAGTGGCAAATTCTAAGAAAACATTCTTGGTATAATGTCAAAGGTTAACATGAGACAAACCGTCTCCTGAGACTTGACATGCAGGTGGTAAAGCCTTTGGACAGGGTTCATAACCTGGGGTTCATGAAATTCATGAATGAAAATGAGAGCATGAGGGGAGTCAACCCCTTAAAAGGTATATTTGGGGGGATAAAGGATCCATAACTTTTAAATTGTTTTTTGAAAGGGTTACAATCCTCCGAAGGGTAGGGACTGGCCATTGGTTTATACATGAATTTGCCGGCCCTCCAACTGAACGTTAAGAGACCTATTTTGTTAGTTGATGTTATAAGGTTTTCCAAGTAATTGATCATTGCTTTGCTTTTTCACTTGCCCTCATTTTTTCCCTATCTTATAAACAGATGGTGCTTGATTCATGTGTATTTAATAGCCTCTTTTTTTAAGTAAAAGCCAGAGGTGATTTTTTTACATAAACCCCCAAGAAGATACTGCACTCAATACTGTATTTGATGGAAGGTAAACCGGTGGCAAACAGTATTCCAGCAGCCACCTGCAGGAGACTGGGCCTCCACAGACCTCTGTAAGAGTGGCCTGGATGCTGCTGAATTATGCCTATGGCTTTATCTCCCATTTTTCCTTTTAAAGTCATCACACCCAGCAGATTTCCCACCCCCCTACATATTACAAGTGAGGAAAACCACTTTACTATTACAATTTTCTTTGTTTTTGGAGATTAGTGTGATAGAAGCTTGTATCCCTGCAAAGATAATCCACCTTACTGAAAGATAGTTATGCCATGAAAATGTTTTTTCCCAGGGGGAGAAGCGGGGCCAGGCCTCCTCCTGGTGGATAGCGTAATGGAGAATGGGTAAAATAACTCTGGGATAGCATCATGACAATGTACAAGTGACTTCCTTGACTGAGAAGCAGAATCTGTGTCGAGCTGGGAAGGCAGGAGAGGGAATGGTAGAAGTATCTGAGAAAAACAAGGCACAGTGGCCATTTGAATTAGCCTTAAAGGCCCAGGCATCAGGTTAGGCTCTGCTGAAACTCTACCTGATTGCCAAGACAAGCCTCTTAGAGATACAGTGCCTCAGTTTCCTCATCTCAAAAATAGCTGAGTTGTACCAGATGATTTCCTAGGGTCCTCCTACTCTCCAAATGGGTTTATCTTGGTTTCTGAGCAGTGTTGGACTGTAAGGAACAAAATCTTTGTTAGTATAACTTATTAGTAGTTAATAACAGTCATCCTGTTATTTAAGGTTGGAAGAGATGCTGCTATTCATGTGTGGGACACACAAACTCTAAAATGTCTGTCGCTATTGAAAGGACAACATCAGAGAGGAGTGTGTGCGCTTGATTTTTCAGGTAAGGCCCAGAGTCATTGACACATGGTTCTACATTGAGAGAGAGAGAGACACAGAGTGTGCGTGCACACGTGTGTGTGTATGTGTGTGTGTATTTAAACATGCTCCCACTTAGTTGTTCTTTTTGTATTGAAGTGCAAGCTCTTTGTATGCCAGCTACCCACTCTTAGACTGGGAATCATACATGGGAATACCTCATCGAAAAATGTGGCCTTTAGATTACACACCCCTTCCCATCTTCTTCATTTTCTCTCTCCCAAGTCATTACCCAGAGCTCACACTGTGTTCTGTATTTGCTTGAGCAATTTGAAATCCAGAGCAGCTGTTGCTGTTGACTTAGTCGCAAATGTCTGGCAGTGACTCAGAACATCAATTTCATCTCTCCAAGTAAGTGGGAGCACATCACTTCTGATTGAAAATACAAAGTACTAGAGAGAAGGCTGCAAATTCTCTGCAGAGGGTCACTTTACAACATTGGTATTTTGGAAATAACTTTTATGTTGAAAAAATAGAACTGAAGTTTTCATCTTAATTTAAAATTTGAACACAGTATCATAAAAAATAACTGAAGAAAGTAAGTTCCTTTAGAGTGAGTTTTCTTTAAGCTAGCGTTTGAGAATGAAGGCCTATCACAAAAAGTATTTCTACCTAGAAATTTTTAATAATCAAACCGTAGAAATTAGATCAATAGAAAAAGAATTCTAGACTTTCTACAGAAAGCTATTTTTATAATTTTTTTCTAAATTTTATTCAAGTGCTTAATAAGTATAACACATGTAATATTAAATTCCATGACTCCACAAGCCTGATCTCTCTTCCCTATCCCTTCCTCTCCCTGTTCAAGCCCTCACTCCCTCTCATCTATACCATGGTAGTCATGCTGGTCTCTGATTCTATCCCACTTCCTCAGTCCATCCTACCCTCTTCTGGGGTCTCCCAGAAGCACAGTTACCATTGCCACCACATGGATTCCCCTTGGTTGGCTGACTCAGTGTGGAGCCCTTGGGACATCCGTGGCCTTCCCTGATCTGGCCTTAACCTTCCTTAGCAGTATTTTTAACCCAACAGCCCTTAGTGCTCCTTCACGTCTCTCTAACTGTGGAGGCTACATGTACTCTTGCCCTTCTTTTGCCTGTGTTGTTTGCTCATGCTGTTCTAATGTGTCTTTTCAAGTCCTCCCATCCTTTAAGGTCAGGCTGGAAGTTTTCTCTTCCAACTTTACAGGGAGAAATAACCTGTCCTTTTTTCTGCATCCCTTTTTTTCTGCATCCCTTAGCCCTTTGTTGTCATTGCTCTTATGGCACCCATCGTTCTTGTGGCACTCCATGTGGCACGTAGTTATTTGTGTCAGCATCTCCCATGCATTTCACACACAGTAAACTACTTGGCAGCAAATCCCATCTCTCTGCTCCCCACTGCACATGTCATACTGCTGTGCAAATAGAAGCTACTAAAAAAGTGTGAATGACTAAATGAACAAATGAGGTTCTGCTTCATGCACTTTATCTTGCCTTTCCCTATTACTGCTAGAATTTTACAATATAAACCACATTTGGGTGAAAACTACCTTCATTGGCTGACAAATGCAACATGGGGCAATTTTTAGTTTTTGTAACAGGCTTGTTCTCACATACTGTAAATTACTGTACAAATCTGAGCTGCTGTATCATTATTAGAAGTTATTCAGTGCCTTCGATGATTATTAAATTAGTAAAAATCAAGGCTAAACAGTTCATGCTCTACACTGGTGACGTGAGGTAGGAGAAGGCATAAGTGTCAAGGGAGAGAGAACTCCGCATACCCCCTGCCAGCTGAATAACACACTCAGTAATTCACTCAATAAACAGTGAATACAAAGTCCACACTCCCGGAAGTTCGATGGACATGCAGTTTTAAAATAGGTGTGCCATGTGTCACTGATAAAGCAGTGACACCTAAAACTGTAATTTTAGTTTCAATATGATCGTATTTCAAAGATGTGGATGAATTCCTTCTGCTTTTTGTTCTCCATAGTTCCACTCCTGAGTGGCCAAACTGCCCTTTTCCTAAAATTAATTTTGCTAGCAGACATATATGTGTATACTCAATATAAGTAATTAATATGCTTTAGAAGAGTGGTAAAATGCCCATTAAAGTAGCAAAAATAAGTAACAACAGCTAAATGTTTACCACATTATTGGGAATCCAATATATTCATACTCTTGGCAGCACTGAAAATTGACTCAATCCTAGTGAACAATCTGGCAATGTATGATAAAGCTGTAATTCAAAATGACAAGTATGAAGACTGTATTTTATGCACATTTCAATGTATCAGGATAAAAGAAAAAACTGAACTCAAAACACCATCTATCACTGATTGCAAATGAAATGTGCATATGTGTATTAGCATATAAACAAAGTGGCCAGAAATTTAGAGTAATATAAATAGAATTTAATCATTAGGTTATTTCCTCCATAGAGTTGATTAATTTTCTATTTTTTAAAATCAAAATAATTAGCTCATGTTATTTAAATACCTTTGGAGGAAGAGAATAGCAGATCAAAGACATTAATTATGAGTTGAGTTCATAGCAATAAGCTGGTCCCCTGTAATGTGGCCTCTGCATTTCAGATAGCTAACATTTCTTCTGGGCTTATTAGTATTATAGAAGAAAGAACAAGAAGTTAAGTGAGCTTAGAAACCTTTTTCCCATAAGACAGCCCTTCAGATCAGTGCCTGGGTAGAGAAATGAGATACTCTGGAGGAGGTGAGGAGCCCGATTCTGTAACTGCTTCTGATTCCCATCTTGGGCAAATAAATTCCCAAACATGAAATATTTGTGCATAAGAAGGGTATTTCAGTATTTTAACAATACAGTCTCCATTCCCCAGGTAACAATCACTGGGAAAGAGCCCATTTTTCAGCAAGTGTGTTGCTTGTGATTATGGAAATTCACCTTTTTGTCTTATAGGTTAAGGAGTATGTCAATATGTAAATGGTAGAAAGGAATCTGATAGCTTTAGAAAGTGCTAATACTAAGGACTATTGTGGAAAAACTTTCACTGATACGTGATTCATTACCATGAATGGTTACATACAGATGAACTGTAGTCATTGACTGGGGGTTGGGGTAGGGAAGTGGGGACCTGTGGTGACTCCTGAAAGTGTGAGCTGAGGCCTGTTTGGTTTAATTTCTATCGATAGCAGTCTGTTACAATAATATAGTTTGAGTCTTAAACCCCTGCACCACTTTATAGGCCGAGAATGGAGATCCTGAAGTTTGGTGGTGTGGCATGGGTAAAAGTCAGCAGTGGCCGATCCAAAGGCAGAACCCAGGTCCATTGCGAGAGCCACCAGGCCTGGGTTTGACAGCAGGCGGGAGGCATGCCAAGAGTTCTCCTCGGTGTCAGGCCTCCTCCGGCCCCTTCCCTTTGCTGGTGCTAGTGTGTACACTTGGCAAGAGTGTCATGCCCGGGTATGCAGGCTCACTTTCCGCTCCCTGTGCCCTCCAGTAAGCATGTCCATCTGTCCCTCCCACCCTCCACTGTAACTGTGGAGTAGACATGGTGGTGCATAGAGGCCCTCACGTGGAACAGCCCCAAGTGAAGAGAGATCCCGTTCTAAAACAGCCGAGAAACACACACTTACCTGAAGTATGAGCAAGGGCAACTAACGCTGCCTTCTTTTGGAAACTGATAGAAAAGTGAGTAGCTCAAGTAGAAATGTTGAAAGAGGAGACTACGTAGACCTCCTTGTTTAACCATGTAAACAGGGCACTGACGTGACACTCATCAGTGATGATTTAGCTAGTGCTCCATCTGTGTGCCTCAGTACCCCTGTCGCTGCCCATCTCTTAGGAGTTAGCTCATTTGGGGGGTTTTGTGGGCACCTACTGATAGTGTGCTTGTCTCTTACTAGAGAATAAATTGTCCTGGATATATAAAGCAGGCAAACAGTGCGAAAATTAGACAACTGAGGGTTTAGATTGTTCTTGCCACTTTTCGAAAGCAAACAAAAGACATTTTTAATCAAAAAGATTTCTTGGGACAGAATTTGTAACTGGGCTACAAGGACAAGAGGAATGAATTTGTATTATCTCAGTTGAGAAGCTCTTTTAACTCAGTATTTATTACTGTCCGGGGAAGGGGAACCATTTTTGTTTCGTGCTTGCCGTGAGGGAAGTGCTTCCGCATGAGTAGAAAACCAGATTAGAAATAGAAAAGGTCAACCGCATAAATATTTTCTAGCTTAAATATCAACCATATAATTTTTTTAAACCTTCATAGAATAATAGTGATTTCCATAAGAGCACATCTGAGACTTGATTTCATTGTGTTCAATAGAAAACCTATGCATTTTTTATGAGCCCTGAATAGAGTGACCAACTCATAATTGTCTGAATAAAACTTTTTCTAATTCACCCTTTACTGTTGACATTAAATGCCTTCCTATTATTTCTGGACTATGTCACAAACATCCATAATTAATGCATGCTGTAACTGGAAAGATGTGAAAGGACATTACCTAAGACTCTAAAAACATGGCTAAAAATAAAAACTCCAACTAACTGTCCAGAGAGTAGATTTCCAAAGCAAGACCAAGCCTTACAGGGAAAGTGAGAACTGGGAGAGTAAAAATGTAGCCAATTTTACTTCCAAACTGTGTAGTATATACACAGAAATAGCCCACATTGGCAGAACTCAGGGAAGTCAGTATCCCAAAGAAGAGGTATGGTTGTTGAGGCGCCTCTGGGTTTGCACTGCTGCTTCCATTGCTACCACAATCAGAATACCTTTTTTGGTTTAGAAAGGTGGTGCAACAGTGAGGATAAGCTGAGAGGGTCTTGCAGAAATTCTCCTAAAATAAAAGCTCACCTCCTACAACCCCAAAATCAGCTTACCCTTAGGCCTTCTTCAGATGACATAAAACTTTGTTATTTTAAATGTATTTGTGCTTGCATTCCAAGAAGAACATATAACTACACAGATTTCAAAAGAAAACGTGAAATATAGTCAGTGGATGCAACAAGACATTGAATATTTGTGCAGTGTTTTTGAAATGAATAATTTTTAAAAAATTTGTTTATAATTAACACATAATTGCAAATGTTTACAGGGTATAATGTGACATTTCAGTACGTATTTATATTGTGTAATGACCAAATCAGAATAGCTGTCACATCCATCACCTCAAACATTTATCATTTCTTTGTGGTGATAACATTCAAGATCTTCTTTTCTAGCTATTTTGAAATATACAACACAGTATTAGCTATAGTCACCTTAATATGTAATGTAACACCAGAACTTACTCTTCCTAACTGTAACTTTGTACTCACTCTTTACTCATCATCCAAAAACAAAATTTTTTTTTTGAGACAAGTTCTCACTGTGTCACCCAGGCTGAAGTGCAGTGGCACGATCATGGCTCACTGCAGCCTGGACCTCCTGAGCTCAATCGATTCTCCCATGTCAGCCTCCCTAGTAGCTGGGACTACAGATAAACTCCACCACACTTAGCTCATTTTTTTTGTATTTTTTGTAGAGACTGGGTTTTGTCATGTTGCCCAGGCTGATCACCAACTCCTGGGCTCAAGGGATTCACCTGCCTTAGCCTCCCAAAGTGTTGGGATTACAGATGTGAGCCACTGCACTTGGCCAAAATCTTTATAGCTATATAACATAGTACATTCCATTTCAATTTATACCATCCATAGGCATATTCTGTCTTTATCTTCCTCCTCCTCATCAATGTCACCAGTATCATCAACATTCATTGAAAGCTTGATTAGTGTGAGGCTTACAAAGGAAGTGTGATAAGATTATTATAAGCCTCAAAAGAGGTTATGATCTTAAAGAGAGAAAACACCAATAAAAATAAAATCAAATACAGAGGCATGCCAACATAAAAACAACCAGGCCATAGCAAGAGCTGTGGAAAAAGTAATGTTGGTAATGAATAGGAAGTCATTACTAGTTCCTTCTCCTAAATGCATACAGAGGGACCTTGCCCAATTTAAAGCCTGGTAACTCATTGGTTGTGATTTGAAAGACATAATTTATAATAATCACCTGGTGGTGATTTAGCCCTTAAGGAAAGTGTTAATGTCTTCATCTAATACTACAGCCGAGTAGCTTGAAAAAGTCATGTAACTTTCAAATCCTTGCCTCATACTTAATAGTGATGGAGGGTTGGAGAGGATTTGGTTTGTTAAACCAGACTTTTTCTTTCTCTGACTTTCCTTTGTCCAGAAAAGGAGGAGGAGACTACCATTTCCAGTTGGTTGGAGAAGGGTCTCTTGCACAAGCAAGGGCCCTCGAAGCATGGGCATTGGTTAGCATTTGAGATGAGGTTGCCAGATTGAGCCAACAAAATTATGGGGTTGCCAGATTGAGCCAACAAAATTATAGGAAGCTCAATTAAATTAGAGTTTCAGGTAAATAATTTTTGTCATAAGTATATTCCATGCAAAATAAGGATAAATATGTAATATACATATAAATATTGCATGGGACATACTTGTACTAAGAAATTTGTTACTGCTTACCTGAAATGCCAGTTTAACAAGGTTTTCTGTATTTTACCTGGCAACCCTAATTTGGGGTCTACTGCAGGTCTGCCTTTGAAAATACCAGTTGAGACCTCCGAATGGACTGGCAGACCTGGGAGAGGCAATTTATCACAGACCTGTGTTGCTTTACCCTCATAGCTGGCCCTTGGTAGTCAGAGAAGAGTCCTGATATACTGACACAGGATGAGCTTGATCACTCGTCTCCTAGCAACCGCACAGCTAGTGGAAGGGAGGCTGCTGACCCAGAGATGCTTCTGTGTTGAATCTAGCCTTGCAAGGAGGCAGCAAAGGAAAGGCTTATTGACTATACCTCTTCTTTTGTCTTGAAGGGAAAAAGCAAATTAACTGTTTTTATTTGAAATTTAATTGTGCATTCAGTATATTTTTAAAACAATTTTTGGGAAAATAACCTAAATGTCCAAATTATAGTAATCATGGATAATTATTATTCTCTTAGAGAAATAAATTGTCCTGGAAATGTAAAGCAGACAAATGGTGCGAAAACTGACAATAAGCAGTTATACATAGGGATTTACAATAATCTATTCTTGCCAGTTTTCTAAACAATTATAAGTAATATTTAATACTAAAGGAAAATGTTCATGATATAATAGATGAAGAAAGACTGGATAACCTGTTTAGTATGATTCTGGTATTGTTTTTTAATAAGCACATTTATGTAAAGACTGATAGGATATATATCAAATGTAAGCCTAGAAATTTGGAAGATTTAAAATTTTTCTGTATCCATATTTTCTAAATTTCCTATAACAAGCACACTATATTTGAGATAGGGAACATAAAATTTTTTAATTGTAAAATCTTTTGAAAGAATTTTTTAAGTTAAATTTAGTTTCTGTAATATTCCTAACTTGGAGAGTTAACCCAGTTTTTAGAGCTGAAAATAGTCTCAGGGTCACAAAGCCAAGTGGCACCTCAAGTAAATGTCATGAGATTTGTTTGTCACAAAATAGACAAAAGTTTTTGTAGCTTACCTGAGAGTCTCTCTCTAGCTCTGTGTCTCAGAATGTCAGGTGGGCAATTTACTTCTGCAGCCCATTATGCATTAGGAAGCTCGGCTGTCTCTAGTCTTGCATTTCATTGAGTGAGGTCCATTTAGTATATGATACCTCTAATGTATTAAAATATAATAATTGTACATGTTTATAGAGTATAGTGTGATGTTTCAGTACATGTATACATTGTGTAATCAAGTCAGGGCAGCTATCACATCCGTCACCTCAAACAGTTATCAATTCTTAAGATCAATTACTTATTCCTCTTTATAGTATATGAAATGTTTTGTTTTTTTCATGGAAGAAATTTTGACATTTGTGTTGTTTTCATACAGCCGATGGAAAATGTCTGGTGTCGGTTGGTTTAGACGATTTTCACAGTATTGTATTTTGGGACTGGAAAAAGGGAGAAAAGATAGCCACAACAAGGTAAGAAGCTGCCGGGATCTTATGGTATCCTGCTGATATCATGGTTTAGTAAAGGTCAATAGTTTTCATTTTCTGGTAAGATTTCATCTTCAAACTCAGGTGAAACTCATGTAGAAAGCTTAGCACTTAAGTGAAAAAGTACTGCAGTGTTTCATGATGGCAGACCTGACTTAGAGCAGGTAATGTTTGTTGCGGTGAATCAGAAAATTCCGAAATCCTCTGCAGAGAGTCGTTCGCCACTTCATTTTGAGTGATCTGTGTAATCTGTATCAAAGCATTTCAGCAATACAAAAGGAGCTTTTCTCAGGCTGGTGCCTTGCCCCTTGTTTTTCCTCTGTCCTAGCATCTGGTGAAGGATTGTCAATGTCATCAGAGTCAGAAGCACCGTTTGTCATGAGGCTGCAGCATGCTGGAAAGGAGGCCCCACTGAGTGCATCTGCCACTTGCTTTCAAAGCAGGCAAATTGTTTCCCTAATCTCCCGTCTTATAAATAGATTTTTTGAGACCGACTGCTGTTTATAGACCACCTGTCCTCCCTTACCCCAGCCTTCCTGCCTGCTGATTCAGCGCTAAGTCTGAACATGACTTTCCATTCCTACTTGCATTGAGCTCAGCTGTTTGCCCAACCCTGATCAGGGGTCAAAATAGTTGGCAGCCAAGACCCAGCAATACAATTTGTTGCCCAGGCGTGTTGTCAGTGTACCTCCCCGTTCTTCCCTGCATTAATGATGTCCTTTCTATCTTGCAATATAAAATCATTTTGAAGTTAATAGCCTTGAACCCCAATATTCACTTTTTAAATTAATATTTTCCTCTACAATATTAAATAGGAAAAAAGATTTGTGGGAATTTAATGAAAGAAGATTTATAAATTGCTAGAGACCCGGAGGAGCAGCAGATGGAGGCTTGAGGACTCCAGCTGACCATCTTAGGAGAAAAAGCGAAGCTTTTCTGGTGACCGCTGTTGAGATTGAATTCTTGGCAACAAATGGCAACTCATAAATCTGCCTGCCCGAGTGGTTTTCCTTTTGGTCTTTCTTTCTACTATTCCTCACTGTCATTCTCCTCCCTTCTAGTACTCAGATTCAGCTTCTCATCAGAACTCTGTTTCCCCGCTAGACTAAAATACAGAATTTAATATTTCTGATAATATACCACCTGCCTCTACAGATAATTTCAGGGAAAGCACATGTCTGGATTTCAAAAGCAACAGAAATGCAATTTTCCTGCTAGAAAACACTCTGCAGCTGTGGGTGGCTCACCAGTTTTATGACAGAAACATTAATAGAAATGGAAGAAAGAAATATTTCTTAATATTAAAATAGTATATATTTTATATACTTGATGGATAGTGTTACTGCTTCTATTTAACACAAAGTTGACTTAACACCATTATGTTAATAACACAATTTATATTTGGAATCGCTTCTAAGCCTTATGACACATTCCCAAAACAAGACACCTGCAGAATTGCCCAGGAGAACATTTTGGATTGACATTAACCAGTGCTATTTCCAAGGAGGAATATCAAGGATTAAAGTTCTTTGGAAGAATAGTAGATTTTGCATTAATAAGTAAATAAAAGTTATGTAAATATCTATTTGCATAATATTAACAATGATACATATTTACATAAATACACGAGAAATTTAGACGAATAAATAAAACTTATATTTGTGGCCTTAGAGTACTTAAGTAGATAGAAACTTTTAAAGACAGGAGGCCATGCACCATGGCTCACGTGTGTAATCCCAGCACTTTGTGAGGCTGAGGCGGGCGGATCTCCTAAGGGTCAGGAGTTCGAGACTAGCCTGGCCAACATGGTGAAACCCCATCTCTACTGCAAATATAAAAATTAGCCAGGTACGGTGGCGGGCACCTGTAATCTCAGCTACTCGGGAGTCTGAGGCGGGAAAATCACCTGAACCTGGGAGGCAGAGATTGCAGTGAGCCACGATTGCGCCACTACACTCCAGCCTGGGCAACGGGGCAAGACTCCATCTCAAAAAAAAAAAAAAAATTTAAACAGGGACATGATAGAAGTGACAAGTAATCAACTGAATGATACCTTGCTTCCAGGGTCAGGTCTAAGCTCCCAAGAGGGCCTAATTCACAGAGAAACTGATTCAGACCTACCCCTCATTTTTCACTTCTGTGTCTCGATCACTGCCAGCCTCATTTATAGAGCAAGGCTGAACAAGAAACCTGCTTCTGGCTGACTGTGCTGTTTTAGCAGGGGTGATTGTTCTGTACCACTCGTCACCCAGGAGGTGAGGTTTCTCCACAGAGGAGGAGCATGTTTGGTAGCTGTGGTGGCATCGTCAGCTGTGCTGCTGGTGGCCGTGGTGACATGTGCCATCTGTACACCCGGGCACTCAGAAGTTGCTCCTCCCCCAATTGATGAGAATATTTTAAATGAACCTACTCTTTAGCAGCTCACAGAAACTGGAGAAATTCAGAATTGGACCATAGAGATCTTATTTACAAGATACCCTAGATTTTATTTACAAGATCTCTGTGAGACTGAATCCAATCTATTTAAACAATTTCCCCGCATGCATCTTTGCTAATTTTTATGAGTGATTTAGGTTACCTCCATTACAAATGAATTTTTCAGTCTTTTTTTCCCCCTAAAGATCATTCCAATTTTAGTCTAGTATACAAGTAGCCCATTTAAGAACCAAGGCTGATCTCGTATAGGAGTAATTACAGGGCCTAACATCACTGTCAATCAGGGTAGAATAATGTGACGATTAATCAGGTACATCTGTGCTCCTTTAGTTGGACTTGTGTTGCTCTGGTAATGTGACTGGGGAACAATGACTAATTACAGACACATTTCATTTCAGAGTTTGAACAGCAGGGATCTTGGACAAAAAAGAATTATCAACAAGAACACTTCCAAGGCCAGTCTGAAAGTTTTGCTGCTAGAAAGCTGAGGGACACACTGTAGGCCTGCATATGGCAGGCGTATTGAACTTCCAAGTAATCGCTTCTGTATTAGCTTCGCCACTTCATCTATTTTAGGTCCCTACCTTTACATGCACTTAATGACTATGATAGAGTCTCCTGTATACCATATGGGCCCCTTTTCTTTTTCACTTTCTTTTTTAAAATAACACTTATTCTTTCCTCTGTTTTGCAAAAATTGTATGATCATTATAGAAAAATTAGCAGAGAAAAGCACTTAAAAAAAGGAAAATCATCTATAATCCCACTACCCAGATGTAGCCATGGTTAACATTTTAGCGTATATCTTTTAGTATGTATTTTTCTAGTATTTGTATTCATTTTTATTTACATGTGGGGTATTGTGCATATGCTCTGTAACTGGCTCTTTTCACTAATACATTGTCTCACTGTGTTCTAATTTGTTTCCTGTTTTTTTCTATATTTTGAGCCAATTTAAATTTTTTTTGGAGATAGAGTATATGTATCAAACACTCATCAGTCTTCCTGTTAAAGGCTACTGCCACAGAAAGGGAGAACCAAATTACACCCAGGACTGGGCCTCTGTGCAAACAGAGGAGTTCTGAATGGACAATATGGAAACCAAGTCACCCAGTGTGCAGTTGCCCTTGGCCTCTGGAAGAGGCTCCTTCCTTCGTGCTTGCTGAGGGGGTTTATGTGGCCCCATGCGGTGAATCCCTTGTGATGGGGCATGAGGAATCGTCCAGTGTTAGGACAGCAGCACAGTGTGTAAGTTCTTATTCTCACCATCTAAGGTCTGACAAACTCTTTGCATTTTGTTTTGCTTATACATACACACATGCACGTGCATGCACACACACACCTACACTTACAGGCAACTTCCCTACAAGTATAACACATGTGTAAAAGAAAAATGAGAGGTATGCAATGTGTTCTTTATTTAGATACTGACATTAGCTAAACATGTACATGCCATCCTTAGCCACTTTAGCTACAACAGAAATAACATCGGTGTTTTTATGACATAGAGTAGGACAACAAAAACTCTCACCCAAACTCAAAGTGCTTTTTCTGTTTTCTCACTCAACAACAGTCAACACAGAAGACTTCTGTGACCAGACTTGTGGAGATTTCTCCCCACCAACAAGCAAATAATTCTGTGACAGACACTAGCTGAGTATTTTCTAGTTCCGTTATATTCTGACTCTGTCTACCTGGAGGTAGCCTCAGATCCCACAGGTTGAGGGCTCAGTTTCTGAGGCCGTGCCCCTCATCCCACCTTGGGTTTCATTAATTTGCTGGAGTCGCTCAGAGAACTCAGACGTACGTACTTCATTTGCCATGTTATTACAGAGGATGTTACAAAGGTTATGGATGGAAAGCTATATAGGGCAAGGCACATGGGAAGGGGCACAGAGCTTCCATGGCCTCCCTGGGTGCATCTTCCTCCAGGGATCTCCTTGTGTTCAGCTGTCTAGAAGTTCTCCAAACCCTGTCCTTTGGGGTTTTTAATGGAGGCTTCATTACATAGGCATGGTTGATATACTCACTGGCGATGGGTGAGCAACTTAACCTTTGATCCCTCTCCCTTCCCTGAAGGTCAGGAATGGGGCTGCAAGTCCCAACCCTCTATTACTGCTTTGGTCTTTCTGGTGACCAGCTCCCATCCTGAAGCTACCTCTGGGCTAGCAGCCATCAAGTCAATCATGAGCATACAAGAAGACCTCACTGGAGATCCTAAGGATTGTAGGAGTTGTATGCCAGGAAATGGAGGGGGAGAATTGAAGACCCCATACGTATTTTGTAATATCACAATGGCACTAAGAAATTAGATGGAAACTAAAAAGTTCTCACAAAAAAAGGTTTTTGTAAATGTTTGACATTGTATAGATACAAGGAAACAATCTTTTATCTCTAGGAAATATAATTTGCTATATCTGTTCTTTATTTTCATTTTTTGGTTTTCTCTAGTCTCTCTAAAGTATATATGAATGATTTTGAATCTAGGGGGATTTTCCTCCAATCAAGAAATCACTGGGCTGGGCATGGTGGCTCACGCCTATAATCCC